AGGACTGCAAAGAAGCTAAAATAGATACGCATATCAGGCACACAAGACTGCCATGGGAGCAGGTATCCAAAGCTCCTTTTGCCATCTTTTATTATTAAAGAAATCCTATAAAAAATTAGTGGCATCAAAGAAGAGAGCTGATAGAATGGATTAATGGAACAAAGTAATCCAGTCATCCAGAGACAAAAACTCTTCAACCTTTTGGAAACTGATATCTAGACACTCTTATAAGGGATCCTCCCCTATAGATTCCTTAATTACGGCTGACATGTGGGAGGTGTACTTCCGGAAACTGCATGCTGAGGCTCCTCAAGTATTTCATCTTCAGAAGCCAGAAGATCTACCAGAATGGCCCCCAGTCACAGCAAAGGAAATCAAGTCCCTCATTGGCCAATTTAAGAGAGGAAAAGCCCCAGATATAGACAGCATCCCCCCAGAATTATTAAAAGATAACGTTAAATGGTGGGCCTCCCCTTTGGCTTCTCTCTTTACCTACATTGATTCGTCTCGGGAAATCCCAGACGATTGGAGGAAGGTGATTATAATTCCATTTTTTAAATCTGGGAGGAGAGATGACCCAGCTAATTATAGACCAATCAGTTTGCTAAGTACGATATGCAGGCTTTACACTAGTCATCTCTTAGATAAACTCAAGAGCTGGATGGAACAAGAGAATCTTCTAGTGGAAGAGCAAGTTGGCTTCAGGGAAGGAAGAATTACCCTTGGCCACAGTCTGATTTTGCAACACCTAATAGACAAATATGCCGCCAATAATGCAGTTTCGTTGTACACAGGCTTTATTGATTTAAAAACCGCGTTTGATTCCATAGCTAGGGATAGGTTATGGGACAAACTGGGAGCCACATCTATAGATCAGAGGCTCTTATACTTGATTCGAGCTCTGTATTCTAATTCATCTTTCCAAATTAGGTGTAACAAAAATGGGCTTCTTACTAATCCTATCATAACCATGTGGATATTTAAAAAACTGCAAGAATAATAATATCACAATAAAGAAGAATGCACACACAGACACAAAAAACAGACTGTAGTCTTTATCCTTGAGAATTACAGGCTTTTATTAATTTGTATGGAATTTATTTTCAAATAAGTTTTCTTGGGTGCAAGAATAAAGCATCCATTCAGTGTAGATTCTCCTAGCAACAAACAGCCAACATTATTCTTTTTAAAATGCTGGAAGTTGTATTTGACTGCTTTTTATCAAGCAGAATCTATACTTCTAGATGTAAAAGAACAGTTTTGCTTTACTGGCCTGGATTATCAAACTGTACCACAATATGAAAGCAAATCATCACAAGGCCAGATGACAAAGAATGTTCACAGAAAATAAAATATTCCACATGTACCATTAAGCGCAACAAAGACATTCATGGTTTCACAATGATGCAAGTGCATCCTAGATAACTGAAACACAACTGTACCTTCTCAGAATACAATAAATTAAACAAATGTACCATTTCTTAATACCATTTTGAAAATTATAGCCAAGAGGGTTTTTTTGCCATTTAGAGCAATTTTTTATTTTTTGGGTTTAACTTTTTAAAAATCTAAATTTTGTAAATTTGCCTGAGGACTGTGGACAAATAGCGCCTACATATTATACAGCATATCCTTATCTGTGTTATCTAGTAAAAAGCAATGCATGACTCAAATCTACTCTCACTATGCTTTAATCATTATGCCTATTAACTGCATGTTGTCAGGGCACTGTCAAGTGTTCACTGTATTCTTCATACAATTAAAAAAAAAGCTTTGCTTTTGAGCCTTGCACACTTCAAGGTATAACTTTGGGTCCAACTAATTGAACAGCCATGACTGGATTTCCATGCCAACCTACCCTATTTAGATCAAGAACTGCAGTGCTGTAAGGGAGCAGGGTTTAATACTTCCCCCATACACTGTTTTCCTGATGTAAATTGCCACTGCCAAAAGAGCTATTTACCTTGAAAAACATAAATATACGTTTTCCATGATAAGAATGAAAGGGAAGACCCTTTAACCACTCTATCTGGAAGAATGGGAAGGAGGTTCTTTGTTTCATGAAGCATTCCAAATAGAAATATTAGTGGATGAAAATAAAAGGATTACATGAATTGTTTATTATCTGAAAAAGTCAGTGAATAAGTTAATGAATATTTAATCGAAATATAGGCTGCTTTCATTTACAACTAATCTAATGTACATATACGCGCTCTTATTTTCACATATGCCAAGAACCCACCTTCTGCCCCCTTTCAGAGATTTAGACAACAAGTATGGCACATCCTAAAGGCTGTTATGGGCTGAAGGCATGTAACAGTGATTTTCATTCTGGAAAAAATAATAACCACCAGACCAAAATAATAACATTTAAATGAACTCCTTTCCTGAGCAACTTATAATTTGGAATGTGCTGAAAAGTCGCAATAAATAAGTCACAAGATTAACAAACTAAAATGTGCTTCTAAACCATTTAAAGTAAATTCTAAATTCTATTTCATGACAGATAAATGGCCTGTTGCATTAGGAGTCTTAAAAGCTTATGTGCCAGATAAATTTATAAAGTACCTTTCTGGGAGTAGAAGACAAACTGCGGGTACAAAAAAATATACAACATAAAACCTAGCAAGTAAATCAGCTGACAGCTGTTGCTTTTAACTTTGCAAAGTATTCATGGCAAAGAATAGTATTAAATAGACATAAAAATAGATTTAAGTGGCGGTAAAGTAGTAGAAAAAGTTAGCATGTTAAATGACCCAGGACTCTTGTAACATGGATAAAAAACTGAGCATTTTTTTAAAAAGTGTGAATACTAATTTTCTTCCCAAAATAAAACAAGTCCACAGTGTGTAAACTAATCATTAATCTTCAAATGTAATTTCATAGAAACCACTTAAAATATACAATGCAGCATCTTGGTTAACTATTCCCGACTATTTCTAGCTCCCAGTGTGTTCCTTCCGAGTAGTGCATTGGAACCACAACATCAGGATGCAGCTAGTGATAAGAGAATTTGTCCACTGAGTGTTAACCAATTTTGTGTGTTTAATTTTGCCCCCCAAATAGTAGAAAACAGAATACAATAGATTGTGGTGGGTTACATTATTACTTGCGTTCAACGAGTTCCAGGAAGGGACTTTGGCAGAGATGTCTTGACAGATGACAACAACATTAGAAGTAACACCAAATGCTACCTCTGAAACCCCCCCCCCAACTTCCTTGCTCCCAGGAGTAGTAATTTAATGCTATCAACCATACATACATACTTTACTACTCTGAACTGCACCTTATGAAGAAGATACTTGTTATATCCCCATTGCCTTAAAGAATACCTGTGAGGTCTAGCCCTCTGCTTGTTGTTAAAGAGAAAATGTTGATGGTTCTCTTGATGACTGTAGTAAACCTGGTTCTGTACCTCTGTAACCATAACTGAATATGTCTCCAGTTTCATTTACTAACACTGCAGTATTCAGTATCTGCTCCAGAGTGCGAGATGTATATTAGAGGGAGACAATGACCTTTTTGCAAGTGCATCCCTAAATTACAATCAGTTAATGAGATAAGCAGCTCATACATGTATGACATTACAAAAATGTTCTTTCAACCAAGAACAACCCACATCCCCCCCCAACTACTTCAGTATTCTGGCTCCATTAATTAAAAATGTCTAGTAACAAGTAAGGAATAAAATTATAAAGATGTCTTTCTTTCTTATAAAAAAGTAACACCCATGAATTCTTCAGCCTAACATCAGCATCTTGAACAAAATATGCTAAATTCAATTAATCACATTCTCCTTTCTAGCTTTCCTCCACTTTGAATGCTGCTAGACTTTTCTTCATTATTTTAGCAAAAGAGTATTTCCTATTTAGATGATGACACAAGTTTCTAATACTACCTTGTTAGTTCCAGATGCTCAAATGAGAATGTGTACTCCTTTCTTTAAATACCATTACTGAAAAAACCCCACATTTGTGATGAAATAAGAGATTTTTTTAGAAGTATGCTCTAGTCACCATGATCCTATGGAGCCAAGAAAAACAAAATAACTTCAAAACCACACGTAAACCCTCCCCAAATGAGGTCTCTCCCTTTCTTTTCAACCTGGGAGAAAATGTCTTTATGCTGCTGCACATTAACTCACTTCCTTAAGGAATGTTATGATTAGTATTTGAAAAATCTGGAACTATTAACCACTGGAGAAAGTGATGCTTGCATCACCTTTTATAGATGTCTTCCAGCCACTTTTCATCATCTTGTTCCTCATCTTCTGTTATTGGCTCTTCAGTTTCCAGAGGAGAAAGAATGGCAAAGTCT